GAAAGCCCAGGAATAGACCCAGACATAAATATTTATTTGTTTTGCTTTGTGATTTTTGTTTTTGTTTTTAAGACAGGATCTCACTATGTAGCTCAGGCTGGCTTTGAACTCACTGTCTTCTTGCCTTCTACTAAGTGTTGGGAATAGAGGCATGCAACACTATGTCTGGCACAGTGTATCTGGCTTTTAAGAGAGGCCCAGAAGCAATTCATAGGGAGAAAGGAAACTTTTTTTTTAACAATGGTCTGATGACTGGATATACAACTGATGAAAACAAATCTGACTCCAACTTCACCACCATACACAAAAATTAATTTACAAAAGATTGTAGACCTTCACATAAAAGCTAAAGCCATAAATCTTTCTAAAAGAATGTTTGAACAATTTGGGAGTAGATAAAGTTTCTTGGTGTGACACAGAAGGAAATAATAATGAAGGAAAAATAAGTTAGACTTCATCATAATTAAGAAAACATCATTAAAAAATGAGTGAGCAACCCACAGGCTGGGAGAAAATATTAAAAAATATGAGTCTGTCAGGTATATAATAACCTCCCTTAAAAACAGTAATAACAGTAAAGAAATGATCCAATAAAGGGGCAAAATATTTGAATATAGAACGGAAAACATATAAATGAAAATCAGAATGCAAGATTTAGAAATATCGCTAGTCAGCAGAGAAACATAAATTAAAACCATAATTAACTATTACTACACACTCATCAGGATGATTAAAAATAAAAGGACTAATAGTACCAATTTTTGGTAAGGATTTTAGTAAGAGTGTAAAATGGTACAATACTTTCCCAAAAGATCTAGCAGTTTATTATAAAACCAATGATATAGTTACAAAATGATCCAGCAACACACATTTAGTTTGAATGAATTTTGGTAGAAATGGATGAATTTTGATTGTCCTGGGCAGTACAATAGTCTCATGCTGAACAGCGACAGCATGCCACTCTGTCGGCCACAGGATCATGACAGCAAGCAACCAATAACTACAGTGTACTGTGTTGCTAAGCTGTGATGTTCAATAGGGTAGGTGTAGTAAATGCACTTTTGACATACAACAACATTTTCAATTTACAATGGATTTATAGGGATGGAATCACATTGTAAGCCAAGAAGCATCTGTGCATTGTTGCAGTGGCTCTATTTTGAAACAACAAAAATCTCTTACTGTACCTAATTTATGGTGTAAACTTTACTATAGGTACATGAATGTAGGAAAAAACATAGTATTTGTGAACTTTGGTACTATCTGTGCTACTAAGTGTCCACTGTGGGTCTTGGGAACATATTCCCTAGAGATAGGGGGAAGCTATTGTACTGAAACATGCATCCTAAGTAAATTTCAAAGCTAATATGCTGAATGAAAGAAGGCTTATATACAAGAGTGAATAGGACCCCATTTGTCTGAGGTTAAAAGCTACACAAAACTAATCTAGAGTGGAAAAACCTCAGAGAAATCTTTGCTTCTGGGAAATGGATGGAAATTAACAAGAAAGGGGGTAGGAGAACTCTTTATGGTTTGAGTTCCACAGATGTAGGCATTTGTCAAAGCTCAGAGAGTATACACTTAAGATTTGTCCATTTCGTTGGTACAAATTTTACAACAAAATAAAAACTCTATAAATAAAATTTGAATGATAGGGAAGAATGTACATTCCATTTAAATTTAAGGAGAAGAGTACTGTTGTTTGTAGCATACTTTTGTGAACTGATGGTTGATAGAATTATCAAAAGATGATAGCACAAACATGTACTCTTCAAAATTCTTTGAATTGTGTTGTATATTTAAAAGTTTGGTTTTTAAAAAAATTTCATCATTCATAGTACAAGGAAGGTGTATTTTGAAAATTCTGTAAGTGCATACAGTGTACAATTCAGCCCCTCCCCATTTTATTCCCTTAGGTTCCCTCCCTAACCTCCTCCTTTTCAAACAGTATTTGGTGGGTTTCATTTTACTACCTTCATACATATACACATAGTATACTTTTATCTCTTCACCTCCTGGTCCTCTCTCTTATCCATGTCCTTCCTCCCACTGATTTCATCTCATCTCCCCCCCCCATAGTTCCCCTTTTGCATTCATGTCCCATTGTCATTATTATCATTTTCACATAAGAATGAAAACATGTGATGTTTGACTTTTTGAGCTTGGCTTATTTTGCTCAAAATGATCTCCAGTTCCATCCATTTTTCTACTAACAACAATATTTTGTTCCTTAAGTTTGAATAAATACTTCATCGTGTATATATACCACATTTCATTATCTGTTGGTCAATTGTTGGGCACTTAAGATGATGCCACAGTTTGGCTATTACATATAGTAGTGTGGTGGAGTGCAGGTGTCTCTCTTATATATTGATTTACACTCCTTTGGATATTTGCCCAAGAATAGTATAGCTAGGTAATAAGGTAAGTCTATTTATAGATTTTTGATAAGCCTCCATACTGATATCCATAGAGGATGCACAGTTTACATTCCCACCAAAACTGTGTGAAGTTTTCTTTCCAGCAATCTTTTCAGAATTTACTGTTATTTGTTTTATTGTTGATAGCCATTCTGACTAGGTGAGGTGGAATCTCAATGTAGTTTTGATTTGGATTTCCTTTATAGTTAAGGATGTTAAACATTTCTTCATGTGTTTATTAGCCATTTGTACTTCTTCTGAGAACTGTTTAATTCATTTACCCATTTATTAATTGGATTTTTTGTGATTTTGCTATTTAACTTTTGAGTTTTTTGTATATGCTAGATAGCTAATGAATAACTGGCAAAGATTTTTTTCTCCCATTCTGTGGGTTGTCTCTTGATTCTGGTAACTGTTTCTTTTGATGGCAGCAGGGTTTTAGTTTTTGCAATTTCATTTGTTGATTTTTGTCCTTATTTCTTGAGTGATTAGAGTCCTTTTTAGGAAATGATTACCATGCCTATGTCTTTAAGAGTTTTCCCTGTGTTAATCTCAAAGTTCCAGGTCTTACATTAAGATCTTTGATCAATTAGGACTTTTTTATAGTGTGAGAAATAGGGGTCTAGTTTGTTTTTCATGTAGATAACCAGTTTTCTCAGAATCATTTGTTGAAGAGGCTGTCTTTTCTCCAGAGGCTCTGTTTTGGGTTCCTCTGTTAAAAATCAGAAAGTTTTAGATGTGGGTTTATTTGTGGGCTTTTTGTTCTACTGCATTGGTCTTTGTGTCTGTTTTTGTGCCACTACCATGGTGTATATGTTACTATGGCTCTGTTGTGTAATTTGAAGTCTGATACCGTGATAACTCCAGTATGTTTTTTCCCCTCAGAAATGCTTTGGCTATTCAGAGTTTTTTGTGCTTCCATAGGAATTTTAGGATTGATTTTTCTATTTCTTTGAAAAAATGACATTGGGATCTTGATGGAAATTTCATTGAACCTATAGATTAGTTTTTGTAGTATAGTCATCATTACAATTTTAATTCTGCCCATCCATGATCATGGGAGATCATTCCATCTTCTGGCACTTTTTAAATTTCTTTCCTCAAGGTTTTATAGTTTTTGTTTTAGATGCTTTTCACCTCTTGAGTTGATTTTTTTTACAAGGTATTTCATTTTCTCAAGGCTATCGTGAATAGGATTGTTTTCCTGATTTCTTTCTCTGCCTATTCATTGTTGGAATATAGAAAGTTTAGTGATTTTTATATGTTAAAATTTTGTATCCTGCTACTTTGTTGAAGGTGTTTATCAGCTCTAACTTTTTTTGGTGCAGTCTTCTTTTAAGTATAGGATCATATCATCTACAAATAAGGCTAATTTGGCTTCTGCATTTTCTATTTGTATCCCTTTTATTTCTCTTGCCTATTGCGCTGGCTAGGAATTCTAGCACTATATTGAATAAGAGTCTTGTCTTGTTCCTGATTTTAGAAGAAATGATTTCAGTTTTTCCCTATCTAATACAATGTTGGCTGTAAGTTTGTCATGTATATCCTTTACTATGTTGAGATACCATTTCTTCTATTCCTTGTTTCTTCAAGGCTTTTACCATGAAGGAATGATGCATTTTATTAAAGACTTTTTTTGCATCTAGTGAGATGGTCATGTGATTTTTGTCCTTGATGCTGTTTATGTGGTATATTGTATTTTTTGATCTGTGTAAGTTGTACCACCTTGCATCCCTGGAATGAAACCAACTTAATCATGGTGTATAATCTTTTTAATGTAAAACTATTAACTGTTGTATCTCCATAAAATGGATAGGGTATAGTTGGATAGGAGAAATAACTTCTAATGTTTAGTACCAAGTAGAATAATTGGGGTTGACGATAATTAGTTATGTATTTCAAAATAGCATTTTCAATAGTATTGAAAAGAACTTTGCTGCCAATGGTAAGTATTTGAGGTAGGGAATATGCCAGTTACCCTGAGCTGATCATTATATATCATGTACATCTATTGAGATATGACAAGGTACTCTCTATGTATATACAATTATTATATAGCAATATAAAAGAGATCTTGTCTAAACTTGGCAGGTTTATAATAGAGTTTTAGGTATAGTTTTTGAAATTGCAAATGTAACAGATAAAAATAATTAAAGCTAAGTTGTGAAGACAATGAAGAAACAGTGATTAACTTCCTTTTCCATCTAGTGGGAAGTAAATGCTTACAGTCAGCAAGGAAATAGAAGGGAAAGAATATAATTTAAGTTCATGGAGGTGACCATGAGATTTTAAATAGAAACAGTCAAGAGAGGTTACATTGGAACATTGCAACTGGGGTGGAGATAAAGGATGAGAAAATAGTCTGTATAGTTCACTTTTACCTTGCTGTGTTGTTTGAATTATTTCCCTCTGATGTACTGCTTATATAATATATACTTGTATAGCATAACATTATGAAAAAAAGTCATACATAGCCACATTTTGGTTATGTATTTCACGAGGAATGTACCAATGCATAGGAAAGCATGTGTGAGTAATATTGTCCATTACTTTTGTATATTTCTTTTGTAAGGCAGAATCATGAGACGGCATTTGCCTTATTGTACATCCTCCTTTTTGGGACTGTTGCCTTTTTGGATTCTGTGTACATCTTCTACCAACAAATGTACTGTGAGACATGAAGTGGCTGACTGCAGTCATCTAAAGTTGACTTACATCCCTGATGACCTCCCTTTCAACATAACAGTGTTGAATCTTACCCATAATCAACTCCGAGGATTGCCACCTGCCAATTTTACAAGATATAGCCAACTTACTGTCTTGGATGGAGGTTTTAATTCCATTTCAAAACTGGAGCCAGAATTGTGCCAAAACCTTCCCATGCTGAAAGTTTTGAGCCTCCAACACAATGAGCTATCTCAACTTTCTGATAAAATGTTTATGTTCTGCGTGAATTTGACTGAACTTCATCTAATGTCTAACTCAATCCACAAAATTCAAAACAATCCCTTTAAAAAACAGAAGGTAAGATGAAAATGTTCATTGTTGCCATCTAATAAATGTGGGATATGTTATCTAATGTTAAGATTTCAAGTCATTTTATTGTTAGACTTCATGTCTAAATATCAGGGTAAGAATAAGAAAAATTGGGGGGACCTGAACAAAATATTGCCATTGTGATTAAAAATGTTTTCAAAATTATAGTGTTAAATCAGCCTCACGTGTATTTCAAATAAATTTACCTCTCTTGCTTTCTCTCATTTGAAACAGGACTTAGAACTTAGGACCTGTGATCAGAGAAGTATCAGACTGTTCCATAAGGAGCACAGAAAATAAACTCACAATTACTGATTTTAGCATATGAAGCAGTGGGAAAATATTGACTCCAAATTCTGACTTAAATAAAGCTAATGAATTGATACAGCTAAGCACATTGTTCAGTTAAAAAATACCTACTCTTTATTTAAGAGAGCTCAGGTATCATTTTTCCATTGGCTACCACCTCTTTCATTTTAGCACTTTGCTTGAATTTTTAAATCTGTGGGAAAAATCTGTAGTTCATGCAATTATAAAGTGCTTTTCTCAAACCAAAGCAATTTTCAAGTCTATTTGTTTTTTTCATTTTATGGCCTTATAAAAATAAACTTGTTCCTCTTGAGATATCAAGAATAATGTACAGGAGACACATTTATAAAGTGATTTGTTATCCAGTTATTTTAAATCCTTTCTTGTGCTTTCTTAGATTCTTATGTAAATGAAATATCTTTGGACACAAGCACCTCAAAGTCTGATCAGAAAAATTAATAGCAAAATGTTATTTATCTTTTTGAAACATAACTACAAGTCTTATTCTTTTTAATAGAGATTATGTTAGATTTTTCCCCTAATGCCTATCAGGTTTTTCTTATATTTTACCTGAATTTGAAGTTTACATGCATGTTCAAAAGTAACAGAGTGATAAAGCATCATACAATACTGACAGAAAATTTCATGTAATTATGAATGTTTTTCAACATAAAAGTCTTTTCAGGATTTATTAGTGGCAAAGTTGTACTCATACTTCTTTTTTTCCTTTTCGTTTCTTTTTTGTGGTACTGGGGTTTGAACTCAGGGGCCAACACCTTGAGCCACTCCACCAGCCCCTGTTTTGTGATGGTTTTTTATTTCAAGATAGAGTCTCAAGAACTAATTTGTTGGCTTTGAACTGCTATCCTCCTGATCTCTGCCTCCTGAGTAGGTAGGATTACCAGAGTGAGCCAAAGGCACCTGGCTCACTCACCAGCCCTCTACTCATAAGGAAACATTGTATTCTTCTTTTTTCCTGTTACTAATTTCCAAGACTAATTCCTGACACTGCATGTTTAGTAAACCACATAGATTGCATCATAATAAATGTGTACTTTAAATAAGTAAATAAATTATGAATTTTCATTATATCACAAATTAGCTTAAATCCTTTTATTTTGCTGAGAGAAATAAAGTGACTCTTGAAGTAAGAAACTAAATCCATGCAACAGGGTGTTTTCAATCACAAGGATCACTTGCTACTCCTGTTTTCAGTTCTCTACAGAATAATAGATGGCGACATTTTGCTGTTGACATACTTCTAAGATTCACTCATGTTTGGAGGAGCTGTCTTTGATGACAAGACTCTAACCTATATACTTTTTCTTTTTACTCTCAGAATTTAATCAAATTAGATTTGTCTCATAATAGTTTATCATCTACAAAACTAGGAACTCAGCTCCAACTGGAAAATCTCCAAGAGCTTCTATTAACAAATAATAAAATTAAAGCACTTAGAAGTGAGGAACTTGATTTCCTTGGCAAGTCTTCTTTACAAAAATTGGAGTTATCATCAAATCAAATTAAAGAGGTAAGAAGTAATACAAATTATTCTGAATTCTACTGACTGTGTTACATAGATAGGAATCTAAGGGGTCTTAGAGGGAAAAAAAACTTACAAGCTTCATCATGTCTTCCAGAAATCCTTTAACACTTTGCTTAGGGCCATTGGTGTCATTGTCAAGTGAAATGTGATACTTAGAAGATGGGGCTTTGTTGTCAAACAGTCGTGGGTTAAAATTCCTGTGCTACATGATAAAAGCGAGAGCACACAAGGGAGGTATGAGGATAGGTAAGACACCTAAAAAATTAGCTAGCATTTGTTGCCCTTAATGCAGAGAAACTAAAGCAGATACCTTAAAAGCAACTGAGGCCAATAGGAAAAGGGGACCAGGAACTAGAGAAAAGGTTAGATCAAAAAGAATTAACCTAGAAGGTAACACACACACACAGGAAATCAATGTGAGTCAATGCCCTGTATAGCTATCCTTATCTCAACCAGCAAAAACCCTTGTTCCTTCCTATTATTGCTTATACTCTCTCTTCAACAAAATTAGAGGTAAGGGCAAAATAGTTTCTGCTGGGTATTGAGGGGGTGGGGAGAGAGGGAGGGGGCGGAGTGGGTGGTAAGGAGGGGGTGGGGGCAGGGGGGAGAAATGACCCAAGCCTTGTATGCACATATGAATAATAAAACAATAAAAATTAAAAAAAAAATCTTGTGCTATTAACAGTTCTTTCACCTTGGGAAACTTACTGATCCTAGTTTCTTTACTTAGAAAGTGGAAATAGTACCCTGTATCTCACAAACGTTCTGAAAAAATTAAAATACTATGATGGCTGAGAACACAGGTTTAAAGGTGGGTTAGCTGACCCCCTCTGTGGATTTATCTTTTAATAATTGTGTAATCAGTTAAGTTATTCAGTTTCTCTCTACTTTGGCCTGTCAGCTTTCAAATTGGTATAGTAATAATACTAATGGCACTACTTCATAAAACTGTCGGTAAATAATTAGTACAGTGTCTGACATTATAGTAAGTGCTCAATAAATGACAGTTAGCTCTATATTATTATAAAAACCTTCCATTATATAGAAAGGTTTTATAATAACCTTCCTATGATGGAGTGTACCTACTTAACCATCATTTCTCAGATCCATGATCTTCAGTTGAATTATTTCCATACACAGCTATGTCTGTATTTTACCCCTTCACAGACAATAAGAATATTGGAAGTCTTTAATTAAACAACTTTTTAAAGCTATATTATTTTTTAGAGATAAAAGATAGATTGTGTATAGAATTATCCTGAAATAATGATGAAATATTTTGTATAAGCTACTCATTTTATTTTATTTCTTGGTGGAACTGGAGACTGAACTCAGGACCTCACTTGAGCTAAGACTCTTGTCCTTTTGTTTTTAGTTTGTTTTTCATGTAAGGTCCTGTACTTTTGCTGGTACCAGCCTCAGACTGTGATCCTCCTACTTCCACTTCCACCATGCTTTGCCCTTCATTTTATTTTTAAACAGCATTTTCCCTGATTAGAGAATTTATTGTCATAGTATTATAAAATACATAAATAATGAGGAACAATAAAAATTAAGGCTAATAAAAGTCACTTTAAAGTCCACAAACAACTTTAAAGTCAGAAACAACAACTGCTAGCATTTGGATATATTTATCTCTACCTTTTCTCCAAATAATTATAAGAAAAAGTGAGCTAAAATTTATAGAGTAGTTAACTCAGTACTGTGAAAAAATATATTACATGTAAGATCTTTTAAATTAATTTGTTCTTACCATCATTTTGGACAAGAGTGAATAGAGATTAGGAAGTATTAAGTGCCACATCTAAAGTCTCAGAGGGACCATCTGATGAAAGAGCTGGGTTTCTGGAATGTGACCAGAGCTCATTCTCTTAACAGATATGCTACTATGAGTAGCACTTAAGTGTAATAGTTTCTGCTGTTTTTAAAAATTAATATAAAAAATGAACATATCCCAGGTAATTAGGAATTATCATTCAAAAACTTAATTTTAGTGACTGCAAAATAATACTATCATGTAAATGTACCATAATTGATTTGGTAATTTCCTGCTTTGCATTTTAACTGTTTATTTCCAATGGAAAACACTTTCTTCCACACTTAATTCTTTCTTTTCCTTTAGTTCAAATATTTCACAAGCACTATATAGAAATCAAAGCTTCTTGCTCCCCCTGGTGAGTTTATTTGTCAGGGACTGGCTACTGTCCTCTCTGTATTCCTTTTCTCCTACCTTCTAGTCTCTTGGCTCAGCATTGAGTCCCTGAACAGCCAACACTTCTGATAAGGGCGTGGGGGCATATGGAAGGGAGAGAGAAACACTATCATAAAATAAAGTCAGAAGAAAACTTGGCTGGAAATACCAAAATGATAGCTGACCTCAGAATTCCAGAAAGGAAAACCCATGTCACTATTTTATAATAAAAGCCATCCATCCATTCCTTGTGTGATGGTCACTGACACAAGTAGTCACCAAGACACAACCAGGATCTGTCCCATTGGTGACTTCACAGATAGTTTATTATTCACAATTTTACCTAGTGTGTTAAAAGTAAAATCACCAGGAGACTTAACACAAACTGGGAGGCCAGAGAAGGGCCCTACAGAAGGGGCATCTAAACTTATCCATGAATGTTGAGTAGAAGTGAGCTGGGAGGTCAGGGGTAGGAGCAGAGGGTGGGTAGAATAGGCACAGAGCAAGGAAGGAGCTGTGTTAGAGGGACAGAGAGAGAGAGATGCCTTGCCTGAAGCATGTGGTGAAAGGGAAAGGAGATTGAATAAAGAATTGTATTTAAGCTTTTCAAAGGTCATACAGAACCTGTTATATATTGGTTATTAACCAAAAATTTTTTCTCACCTTTAGTTCTCTCCAGGGTGTTTTCATGCAATTGGAAAACTTTTTGGCCTCTTTTGAACAATGTCCAACTGGGCCCCAGTCTCGCAGAGAATCTTTGTTTGGAATTATCAAACACAAGTATCCAGAATCTGTCTCTGAGTAACATCCAGCTGAATAGAATTACCAACATGACTTTCTTTGGACTAAAGCAGACGAGTCTTACCATGCTTGATCTTTCCCACAACAGCTTAAATGTGATTGGTAATAATTCCTTTGTCTGGCTTCCACATCTGAAATATTTCTTCCTGGAGTACAATAATATACAGCATTTGTCTTCTTACTCTTTTTATGGACTTTCCAATCTCAGATACCTGAATCTGAAAAGATCTTTTACTAAACAAAGTATTTCCCTTACTTCCCTCCCCAAGATTGATGATCTTTCCTTTCAGTGGCTTAAGTGTTTAGAGTTCCTTAACATGGAAGAAAACAATATTCCAGGCACAAAAAGCAATATGTTCACAGGATTGATAAATCTGAAGTATTTAAGTCTATCCAACACTTTCACAAGTTTGAAAACTTTAACAAATGAAACATTTTTATCACTTGCTTATTCTCCTTTACTCATACTCAACTTAACAAAAAATCAAATCTCAAAAATAGAGAGTGGTGCTTTCTTTTGGTTGGGCCACCTAAAGGTACTTGACCTTGGACTTAATCAAATTGAGCAAGAAATCACAGGCGAGGAATGGAGAGGTCTAGAAAATATTTTTGAAATCTACCTTTCCTACAACAAATACTTAAGACTGACCAGCAGTTCCTTTGCATTGGTTCCCGGCCTTCAACGACTGATGCTCCGGAGAGTGGCTCTTAAAAATGTGGACATCTCCCCTTCACCTTTCCACCCTCTTCGTAACTTGACCATTCTGGATCTAAGCAATAACAACATGGCTAACATAAATGATGGAATGTTGGAGGGTCTTGAGAAACTAGAAATTCTGGATTTGCAGCATAACAATTTAGCACGGTTCTGGAAGCTTGCAAACCCTGGTGGTCCTGTTCATTTTCTAAAGGGTCTTTCTCACCTCCACATCCTTAATTTAGAGTCCAATGGCTTTGACGAAATCCCAGTTGAGGCATTTAAGGACTTATTTGAACTAAAGAGCATCAATTTAGGCTTGAACAATTTAAACATATTCCCACCATCGGTCTTTGATGACCAGGTGTCTCTAAAGTCATTGAACCTTCAGAAGAATCTCATAACATCAATTGAGAAGAATGTTTTTGGGCCAGCTTTCAAGAACCTCAGCAATTTGGATATGAGCTTTAATCCATTTGATTGCACATGTGAAAGTATTGCCTGGTTTGTTAATTGGATTAATAAGACCCATACTAACATCTCTGAGCTCTCAACTCATTACCTCTGCAACACTCCACCTCGATATCATGGATTCCCAGTGATGCTTTTTGATACATCACCTTGCAAAGACAGTGCCCCCTTTGAACTTCTTTTCATGATCAATACCAGTGTGCTATTGATTTTTGTCTTTGCTGTACTGCTCATCCATTTTGAGGGTTGGAGGATAACTTTTTATTGGAATGTCTCAGTACATCGAGTTCTTGGTTTCAAGGAACTAGAGGGACAGCCAGAGATGTTTGAATATTCAGCATACATAATTCATGCCCATAGAGATAGAGATTGGGTCTGGGAACACTTCTCATCAATGGAAGAAAAAGACCAATCGCTCAAATTTTGTTTGGAAGAAAGGGACTTTGAGGCAGGTGTCCTTGGACTTGAAGCAATTGTTAATAGCATTAAACGAAGCAGAAAAATTGTTTTTGTGGTAACAGAGCATCTATTAAAAGATCCATTATGCAAAAGGTAGGTGTTGTGAAATTTTAAGTGTGTACTTGCTTTTTCAATTGAGCTTTCAAATGCTACTACACTCACAAATCAAAGACTTTAAAAAATTCTTGATGTTTAGATTGAAGTACATTCTGAAACTAATTTTAGATTGTTGAGCTGTTGATTGTTACAAACTATACATTGATAATTTAACCTTAACTTTTTATTTGTTTACTTAGATTCAAGGTACACCATGCAGTTCAGCAAGCTATTGAACAAAATCTGGATTCCATTATATTGATTTTTCTTGAAGATATTCCAGATTATAAACTAAACCATGCACTCTGTTTGCGAAGAGGAATGTTTAAATCTCACTGCATCTTGAACTGGCCAGTTCAGAAAGAACGGATAAATGCTTTTCATCATAAATTGCGAGTAGCACTTGGATCCCGAAATTCAGTGCATTAAATTTATTTTTTGATTAAATTAGCAAAGGAGGACTTTCCATCCTAAGTTCCATGGTAAATGTAAGTTTTACTTGAAAGTAACGTGATCAGGTTATGCATTTTGATGGGTGATGGTATTGCAAGACAATTATATCTCTTCTACAGAAATGTATCGCCCTGTTTCGGGCCTCTTATTAATGATGGACTTATATACCTCAAATAAACATCTAAGCACAGAAGAACATCCTGTACTAATGAATACACAATTGGTCACTGAGGACTGTCACAACGTTAGAGTTTTAAAATATTCCTCATTTAAAGAAAAGTTAGAGTTATATTTTGTGATATCAGTTTTGTGTGTACTTATAATAGGTTAAAAGATAATTGTTTTAATGGGTATAAAGCTATTTCAATTGTAAAAGAGTAAAATTCTCAGAGTTCAATTTATTTTTTTCAGTGGTAAAACTTTGTAATTTAGTATTTCAGTGTTGATTTTGTTAAATACCTTTTAATTTGCATACCCGGGACAGAAAACTTCATAATTTCCTTTGATTACTTATTTGAATAAAAATCATAATAAATCCTCATTTGTGTTATTCTAACACTTGGGCTGTTCTGCAGGAGATTAAGAGCAATTCTCTTATTTAAAAATATTGTAGAAAGTCTTGCTTCCTGACGGTCACTCAAGAGACTGGCTTTGTTGAAACAAAGAATTTCCCTCTCCTGTTCACAGACTCAAGAGATGGTGTTGGCCAAATCACTTGGTTTCACTGGGATTCATTGACTCCTGATCTTGAAAATTATGATGACAAACAAAATCTTAAATAATTAGTGATGATGAGCATGGTATAATTTGTTGACATGGACTCTACTGTATCATAAAACTACATGCTTTGTGCAAATCCTGTTCTAGAAAGACTATTAATTTTGTTTTATAATAAAATAAAAAACTTTTATTTTATTTTAAAATAAATGCAGTCAAAATATTGGAAGTAGAAATGAATAATATTTTGAGATATTTATAGAGATTTGAATGTAAGAAAGATAATGCTGTGTTAATTTCTTTTTCTTTTTTTTTCCATTCTTATTTCTTTTATTCAACTGGAGGTTCTAGTCAATGCAAATAAGCAAGAAAAAAAATTAATGGTATCCAGATTGGAAAGAAACAAAAACATCTTTATTCACAGATAGCATAATTTTCTGCACAGAAAATCTGGTGGAACTGACAAAACAACTACTATAAATGAATTTAGCAAACTGCAAATTTATATGAGAACAACAGTCAGAAACTGAAAATTGAAAAAAAGGAATATCAATTATAATAGCATCAAAAAATGTAAGCTATTTAGGGAAAAGATGTGCAATATATATACAATGAAAACTATAAACGTTGCTGAAAGAAATTAAGTGTCTAAAGAAATGTTCAGGGGTCTGAAGATTCTTTTTTTTTATTATTCATTTATTCACATGTGCATACATTGTTTGGGTCATTTCTCCCCCCTGCTCCCCTCCTCCACCTTCTCCCCTCCTGAAGCACTCATTTGTCTGCTGAATCTTAGGAGCAGTTGAACTGTCACATTTTGGAACGTTGATTTAAGTACTTCAGTATTCTCAGAGCTAGGTTCATGTGTCACTGGAATAATACTTGGATCCACATCCAAGTGAATATCCAGTGAATATTCACTGTACTGAGGCAGGCTAGAATAGCATAGGGAAAGACGTTATTTGCATGACAACCAAAGGCTGATGCAACAAAGCTGCATTACAGTAAAGCATCCTGTGACTAATCTCACAGGATGACTCAAAACCAGCTGGGACCAGCATGGCTGACAGATGACTGATAACTGTCCTTTGTTTAAATATAATGTCATATTAATATCATCATCCTTGCAGAATTGACTGTTCCTATCATGCATCTGATCCCATGACACATTTGAAGACCCCATAGAAGAACAGAAAAGAGGAATAAACACACTTTTAGGAATTCTCTGCCTTTTCCCTTACTTTGGTTCATGAATATTCAATCCTTCCTTTCATTAAGTCTGATCATAAAATATGCTGTTCAAAAACCCAGTGGATGTGGCTCACTCTGAGAATGCCCACACTCACTCTACAATAAAACTCCCCCCACTCACAATTCCTTACTTTGTCTTTTCTGGGAATTCTTTCTCTGACTGTGAGAAGAACCTGGGAACTCTGGGTAGAGGTCTCTCTGTCTTTCTCTCTGGTATGTTTGCCTTTCTCCTCCATATCCCCTCACAGACAGCAGCAGTACTGCTGGTTCTGAGTCTAAAATATGCCAACAACATGACTGCATGGAAGTGTAATCTTCAATTTCAAATTACTTACCACCCCTACATCTAGATACTTGTTTTAAAACATTTTAAAAGGGCTGAAGGTGTGGCTCAATAGTCGAATGCCTTCCCCATTGAGTTCAAACTCCAGTAGTAACAAAAACAACAAAACCCACACATAAAAAACATTTTAGATGAGATTTATTTTTAACTGTGATATCCTGCGTTATTTTGGCATCATAACACAAAAACTACAACTACCTCTTTTCTTCTTGATACACTTTGTATGTTATCTATTGGTAATCTTAACTCTTTGTTAAAATACTACTAAATTATTTTATAACTTAATCATTCAAACTTGTGAAAGGCGGAAAATAATTTTGCTTTTATTTTCTTGTTTATGTGCTTATAAGATGCTAGATTAAATAGCCACAATTAAACTGAGTTCAAAGGTAATTTTTTAAAGTTGTTAGTATTAACAGGTTTTAAAACACACAAGAATGCCTGTTTAAATGAATACAAGTAAAAACGTAAGCAAAAAATATAGACCTGACTTCTGTATTTGACCTGCACAGCGAAGCATTCATTCTGAAACTTCTCCAGGCTTTTCTTTATAATTGTTCTTCTTGGAGGCAGTCTTGTCCTTTGGGTCCAGACAAGCAGAGTTGCAAAAAGGATGGTTTGACCTCCTGGGTGCCACCAAGTAAATCTGTTCATTCCAAAGACCTTTCCTGTATTCCCACTGCAAAACCAAAACCCAACTGAGTCAACACTTTGAGTTTTAAAATAAAACTCACTATTTAGGTTTTACTTAAAAGATTATACCTTTTAATTTTGATTAAGAAGTAGATACAAAAAAATAGATGGCAATAAAATTTTTTTGGTTTTAAAAAGGGGTGATGAATTTTTTAGTTGAAAAAACTTACTAACAATGTCTAAGCATTCAAATATGTATTATCCTAGGTTGCTTCTCAGTAAGTGATCTGACCATTAGAAAATGTTAAGGAGGCGTGTCCAATATGTGTTTTAGAGTACGGGAACAGAATTCCTTGAGCTCCATTACTCCAGACAACATCTTTTTTTGTTGTTTTTTTTTTCATTTTTCTTTTATTATTCATATGTGCATACAAGGCTTGGTTCATTTCTCCCCCTGCCCCCACCCCCTCCCTTACCACCCACTCCGCCCCTCCCTCTCCCCCCCTCAATACCCAGCAGAAACTATTTTGCCCTTATTTCTAATTTTGTTGTAGAGAGAGTATAAGCAATAATAGGAAGGAACAAGGTTTTTGCTGGTTGAGATAAGGATAGCTATACAGGGCATTGACTCACATTGATTTCCTGTGCGTGGTGTTACCTTCTAGGTTAATTCTTTTTGATCTAACCTTTTCTCTAGTACCTGTCCCCTTTTCCTATTGGCCTCAGTTGCTTTAAGGTATCTGCTTTAGTTTCTCTGCGTTAAGGGCAACAAATGCTAGCTAGTTTTTTAGGTGTCTTACCTATCCTCACCCCTCCCTTGTGTGCTCTCGCTTTTATCATGTTCTCATAGTCCAATCCCCTTGTTGTGTTTGCCCTTGATCTAATGTCCACATATGAGGGAGAACATACGATTTTTGGTTCTTTTGGAGCCAGGCTAACCTCACTCAGAATGATGTTCTCCAATTCCATCCATTTACCAGCGAATGATAACATTTCGTTCTTCTTCATGGCTGCATAAAATTCCATTGTGTATAGATACCACATTTTCTTAATCCATTCGTCAGTGCTGGGGCATCTTGGCTGTTTCCATAACTTGGCTATTGTGAATAGTGCCGCAATAAACATGGATGTGCAGGTGCCTCTGGAGTAACAGTCTTTTGGGTATATCCCCAAGAGTGGTATTGCTGGATCAAATGGTAGATCAATGTTTAGCTTTTTAAGTAGCCTCCAAATTTTTTTGTATAATGAAGGATACAATTATTAAAGTGATAAAGCATTAATAAGTGAAACTACAAAACAAGATATATGGTCATTAAAAGATGAAGTGGAATTAGAGGCAAGATATTCTTCAGTGGGAAAACTAAGTATCAGTATTGTGAAGATTAGTTTTTTCCTACATTTTTAATACTTTTTGGGTATTTTTGTAATACTTCTTGTTTTGAATTTCACACATTGATTTGTTTACAGGAGAGAATACATTTCAACTGAGAAGAGTAATGACAGAAGACTGTCCCTATCAGATATTAACATTTCAAAATTAAATCATCTGGGTTTTGCACAAGAATAGTCATTCTAGAAACAGGTTCTAATTCATTTGTATTCATTAATAATAGTTATGAAAGTCGCAATATGATAATTTTTACCGATACACTGCCATGCTTTAAAATAGTACCCAAAGCTAGAGGTTGCAGAAAAGTAGATAACTTTGTGTATTGCAAGTGGTTCTACAAATTGGTACAACCATTTTAAGAAGCATGGTGGCAAAATATTTCAAGAACCTTAAAAATATCCATAATCTTTGACTTGGTAGTTTTTCTTCTAGGGTAGTTTTTTTTCCAGACCCATATAAAGATACAACCATATATCTTTATGAAGACTGATATAAGATGTCTAGTGTACACCATCGAAATGAAAATATCAAGAAATGAAAATTTCACTAGTAATAAATTACCATATATACACATGATTATTTTGTGGTCATTAAAAATTATGCTTTTAAAACCAGCTGATAATGGAAATTTGATTACATGGA